GCTACATTGTAGCCACAGCCACCCTGGGGCGCACTGACAGAGGCGAGGCTGCCGGACACTGGCCCCACCGGGCCCTCTGACCACCACCAGTAGGCAACGGGTGAAGTGTCTTGCCCAAGGACACGACCGAGACTGCCGAGCCGGGGCTCGAACCGGCAACCTTCCGATTACAAGGCGAACTCCCAACTCTTGAGCCACGATCGCCCCTTTTTATACTATTTTTCATGTTATAGTAACAAGCAGACATTTTTACACAAGTGACCAATGTTCCCTCTAATTTTTCATGTGTCTGAGCGAACACACAAACTCCCTGAGCGGTCCCTTGGACCACTGTGAGCGACATCAGACGTGTGCACTGTGGTCACACCAGCATCAAATCCATCCAAGTTACATGGTTTATTAAAATAATCAAATTACATTAATTTTATATACTGTTTTGTTTGTTAATTAGTCTGTTTGTTTGCTTGTTTTAATCAATTTTAAATCATGCTTTTTATTTGTTTTTGTTTCTAATGTCTCTGTAAAGCACTTTGAATCACCTTGTTGTTGAATTGTGCTATACAAATAAACTTCCCTTGCCTACAGCATTTACATTTATGTTAGACTACTTTTAATTAACTGTTTTAGCCCACTTACAATGAAAATTTAAAAAAATCTTGTTCATGACCTGTGTAGTATGTTAACACTATTGGAAGTAAAAATAACTTGAACTCCAATTTTGAAAACACAACTTTTTTATTTATTTCTTTTTATAAAGCTCTGACTTGTATTATGAGTATGAGTCTATGGTCTGGGAGAGAGTCCTGTAACTCTGTCTGCAAAATACAGTATATAATGACCAATGTTGGGCAATTAATTATATAGTTACTTCTTCAAAAAAGTTTTGCAAACAAAGTTTTTGCAGCTGTTTACCTAAAAATGCAGCCAAGGCGTTTTTTTTAATAAATAATTTTGACCAGTAAACTTTCCTTGTTTAAACATGCACCATGGTTTGGTCTTTCTTTGCTTGTGACTTCTTGATGTTGGTAAATACAATAATTGAAAAATACCACATCACATATAACAAACATAAAATAATGCACATTATAGAGTATGCTTCTGCTGTGAGGTCCTGCCTCCATGTACTTGTGCAATTAATCGCTAGACGGGTATATTTATAAATAATATTATATATGGGAAATTTTCCTATACATATTTTTGACCTGGGGGCAGAATTGATTGTGAAATGGAAAAGGAAAATGCTTATGAACTTGCAGATGCATTTAAGGTAACCCTTTTTCATTTTTATTTAAGAAGAGAATTTGTTCCACTGTACGAAGAGGATTGAGTGCAGAAAAAGTGGTAGAGATGCAGTTATACAGTCTACCTGGGCCCCACGAACTATCAGCTAAAGAGAATAAATAAATTAAATTGCTGCACATTTTGTAGACTAACATTTTAAGATTATTTTAAAAATAAAATATATCTTTTTATAACATTAAATGTTACGAGTCAAATGGAAGTCTTTTGAAAGTTATTTAATGATATTTATATTATGAAAAGCAGATTTTTTGACATTTTAAGTTTTTCCCGTTTCCAGATAAAATAAACACGCACAAAACACAAGCAAACAGCCAGAACACAAAGCTGGAAAACCCACCCCATCGACCAAAATCAACTCAAAATACTCCCACACAACAGAACCTCCTCTATCCCTCGCTGGCTCCAAATCTCTCAGTGGAATGATCAGTGGTTCGCTATCTGTCACCATCAAAACACTCCACAAATCCCGCGAATGATTCACCTGCTTATAAACCGTTGAATCAGATACAGAAGCAGTTAGGTTCTAAATGAAGCTTCGGACGTCACTGATCACGTGACTCTGGCCAAACGAATCAAGCTTCGACACAGTGCTTCTGGAGCAGTGTGTTGATTTTTTTGACACACGCACCGGAGCTTCAGCTTCAAGCGGGCCATCACTATTCAGGAGGAAAACAAAACATTGCATATATTTTTTATCATAACTCTGGTTTTACTGAATCTGCGCTAGTATAGTCTATGTCACGAGTTAGGGAGGACTCAGGCGCAGATGGGATTACATCCAATAAAGCGGTTTATTTACAGGTCACCAAAGTGCAAGCTATATACAAGTGAAGAGGGAAACCTCAGGGTCCAAAAAGCCAATTGGGGAAGGGGAAATCCTCTCACACTCTCCCACACGCTGTCACACTTGTACTCCACATAGGAAAGGCAGTTGGTCCGGGGAAACTGTTCACAAAAAGGATTAATCACTAACGCGAAACTCTCAAATTGGAAATTAGCTCGTAAGACGAGAAGTAATACTGACTTGTCTCACTTAATGATCCAGTGAAGACCCGTTCTGCTTCCCAGCCTTAAATATCAGAGACTCCTCAGCTGAGTAATTGAGAACAGACAGACAAGGCTGGGACTTGCTGAAGGCTCTTCCCAGGGAGAGTGTCGAGAGAGGGAGAGAGAGACAGGCACAAAACAAAAACAACAACCAATGAAGCCCTGTGGGGCCAGTGAGGCAGACACAGGGACCATGACATACTAAAAGTTCTCTTTAAAAACTAAACTAATATTTTCCACAAACTCCAACAAAGGTCCATCATTATCCAGGGTACCTCTCTTTCCACCCTATTCACTTATCCTTCAACGTGTCATCAGGTCCCTCTATGACCATTTCCATGAATAACAAGTAAAAGTCATTGTTTTCCTGCAGTTAATCATTTTAAGCTAAATGCAGAAAATCTTTCTCTCTCATGAAATTGATTGTTTTGGATTTCCATCTGCTTGTTGCCCTTTTGTTTCTGCCTGTTTGAGTTTCATAATTTCATCAAATACACCAGCCATCCCTGTTTCTGTGTCTGGTTATCGAAGGGTATCTTCACCTCTCATTATCAGTTCATCTTCAACATCAGGCTCACCTTCAACTACTTTTGGGCCATTCTACAATAACAAGATTTTGTCTCATCCATAATTAAAAAAAAAAAAAATACAATTCAGCTCTCAGGAAGCACTCAAAGCTGAATTTTCACATGTCCGTACTTATTGAAAAAATAAGCTATCAATCCAATTTTTTGTTTTGATTTCATTAATATGAACTTCTAGTAATTGTGAAATAGCTCAACTGAATGGAAAAATGAACTGGATGTAGCTTTGTGAAATAGCTCAACATATTTTAGAGAACAGTAACCATGCACTGCAAGTTGTTCCCTACAAGATATGTACATCCCTGTTATTGAAACCTAATTAGCCTGGAAAATTAAAACAAAAGTGAGTGAAAAACAGAAAGGAGTGAGCGAGTCACATACTAACATGATGGGTTAACCATCATGTTAACCATAGCAGAGTGTCGAGAGAGGGAGAGAGAGACAGGCACAAAACAAAAACAAACCAATGAAGCCCTGTGGGGCCAGCGAGGCAGACACAGGGACCATGACTTACGTGCTAACACTGAGATATTTTTCAGACTAGACTGAGTGTGTCATTCTAATAATGCAACCCTGTTATCCATATTTCCAAAATAAAATAAAAAATAACGGCAAAGTACTTTTCCTTTCTCAATAGGAGTACATTTATTTTTTATTTTCACAGAAAATTATTTAACACATCTAGCATCTGTTTCTGAATAAACACTAATACTGATGTGCTACTATGTTACTTTTACTTACAGTCCTGTTGTCATACATATAAAACATTACAGACATATGAAATATTATTTAAATCACATTTCTTGTGAAAATCCCCTCTTGCTAGGAGCTAACTTCCTGTCTTGCTTCCATTAGAGCTGCCAAAAATGACTGAAACATCATATGGAGGGGAAAAGTACATTAAACACTTGAGAATTTAAAAAAACAACAACATTTCTTTGACCAAAAATAAAAAAAAAACCCAAACCAACCAACAAAAACAAACCAATGAAATAAACAGAAATAAAACATTTGGATTAATTTAATGAGCTCAGACTTGTTTGAGATGCAGATGAACTGGTTCAAAACTGAGCTCTGGTGAAACACAACATATTGATATCCACTGTGAAGCTTTAACAAGAAATATGCACAAAAATCTGGAATAATCGTTATAATGAACTTCAACTGATTGGCCTGATGAATCTGAATACGTTTCTGAGTGATAGAGACAGAACTATACAGTGTTAATCTAACAGGAGGACACTCCTTAGGCTGAAGTACACAGACTTATTGAGGAACCAGAAAATAAAAGTCTAAATCCAGGATAAAGAGGTTCAGTGAATGTGACACTTTTACAGAAATGTTAGAATCTTAACACTGCTATTGAATATCGCCAGATAAGTCAGTAACGCAAGAAAGCCCATGTAGGAATGCCCAACGAAACGTGTGTAAGTGTTGTCAGATGCAAAGAGGAGACGTCTGTAGCAAGGGAAAGACGTGCCCAGCTGTCATGGACAGTCAATACCACGTATCACTCTGCTTGTTATGAAACACAGGTAGGACGGATGGAGCAATTGGATGACAAAGAAAGTTAGAGTTTTCTCGTATTGTGCCAGAAGCATAACGGTAGGAACCATCGATGCAGAAGAGCAGGCTCAGGATCCGAGGATTGTTCATTCCCATTCCACAAGAATAACAGTCGAAATATAATGTTCTTGCTCTTATTCCTTCTTGGTCAAAGGGATTTCATTCTGTTCAAACGCTTATTCATGATTATTCACTTCAATAGACTACCATCAACCATCCACAAGTGACACAATGGTGATCCAGTCAGACCATCTCTTACACAGCAGCCTGAAGGCCAGCCGAATCAAATACTGTCAAGGAGATGAGTCAGTTGATATGTCTGATCCTCTTCCACATGTGTCACCTTCTATTGTTATCAGATATTTAAGTTCTCTGTGTAACTGTGTTCTTGTGCAAATCGACCTTGTGAGTTGACAGGGAACTGATGGAGAGAACAAACACAATCCAGCTGCAGTTATTGATCCATCATCTGTTCATTGATTGACACTTTGATGATGACTCCTGACATCAGAGATGTGAATGAGTGATGTGACAGTTTGAAGATGGTTGAATGTGTGCTGCTTTGTTTTCATGAATCACATTAAAAACACACTTACACTTCCTCAGACCTGGTCTCAACCATCGGACTCCAGCAGGCTCCACCCTGAAAGGAGGAGGGGGGTCAGACCAGCACAGTCTCTTTCAGCATGCACACATGGACATTACATCGCTCTCATACAAATACTGTTAGACACTGATAAAGGAACAGTCAAACATTTTGACTCATTCAAAATGGGACAATATGCTTCAGTTTTAATGTTCCTGTATAAGAGACTTTTTCATTGTTTATGTTGACCCCTGACTGCTTTGTTCTCTATCACATTTGTGGTACATTTATATTTTCTCATCTGTCATTTTTACCTGCATGCGTTATGAATTTATGTATCAATGCTGAGATATATATATCAATAAATTATATATATATATATATATATTATATATTATATATATATATATATAATATATATATATATAATATTATATATATATATATATATATAATATATATATATATATGTATATATATCGGTTTCAAGCATCCTGACCAGCTTCCTCAGGTAACCCCCTATGTTCATCCCTGGTGATATGCCCTATACTATACTATGTGGTGTTAGACTTGTTGTCATGATCCTGGAGCTTTGATCAAGAGTTTTTAGAGGTTTTCGTTTTAAGAAAATTATTATTTTTTATTTAATGTTTTTTTGGCTTAATTATTGTTTTAGTTAATTCATGTATTTTGATTCGATTTATATTGTGGTTAGAGCTTATTTAGTATAAGTGCTTATGTTATTTTATGTTATTTTTTATTATATGCAAGCTTTTCCTAGTATTTGACTTCCTGTTTTATTTTGAAAGTTGTCTTCTTTGACTAGCACTCCCCTCCTCCTTGCAAAGAGGAAACTTAGGTCTGGAAATTCATTACTGTGGTAGACCTTAGCTGGCAATTCTCTCGACCTCTCTGCTTTTTTTTCTTCTGCTACTCTTTGGACGACCTCTGAAGAGGTCCTTCTTCTCTACTTTGACTACAGCAGGGTTTCTCCTCCAGTAGTGGTTCCACATTCTGTCTCTGGAAAAGTCCCCCAGCACTGATCCACCTTATGGACTGTCATTGTCTTCTCTCTAGCCTCAGGCTACCTAGGCTATTTTCTTCTAAAATGTCACCTACAATCCTTCACTATTTGTGGTTTTCTTTTGGTAATTTTCAGTGTAAGTTTTTTTTAATTTTTTTTTTATTATAACTTCTCTTTATTAGCTACAATTGTTACTGGTTATTTAAAAAAATTACTTAACAACACTTTTTCTGACCTGACAATTGTACAATTTGGATTCTTAAGCATCTTCACTCCAGAGTCCTCCAGGTTGTTGTTACTCAGATCCAGCTCTTTCAGAGTACAGGATTGGGAGCTGAGAACTGAGGACAGAGTTTCACAGCTTCTCTTTGAGAGGTTACAGCTACTCAGTCTGCGAAGACAATAATGGACAGAAAAATAAAATGTTAAAATATCTGGTCTGAACTCTTGAGGTCCAATATTTTCTATATAAAATATCTATACATAGTGAATTATTGTTGTTCTTTTCTAAATAAAAACACAAAAAAACTTATTTATTTTCACTGCAAAAAGGCACTATGTGAATCTAAACTGTGAAAAAACAATTCTATATGGAATAGCTTTAATTCATAAGTTCACAAATTCAGGCAAACAGATCATACATCAAACTACAAAGAACATAATCCAACCTGAGTGTTTCCATTTTACAGTCTGGACTTTCCAGTCCAGTCAATAGTAGCTTCACTCCAGAGTCTTTCAGGTCATTGTCACTTAGGTCTAGCTCTCTCAGACTAGAAGACTGCGAAGTCAGGACTGATGAGAGAACTTCACAGCTTTTCTCTGAGAGGTTACAGACATTTAGTCTGAAAAAAAAAGAACAAGTACACAAGTAATACTGGTATTAAAACAAACAATTTGGGGTCACGACTAGATTTAGCAATATTTAATCTCATTTCAGGACTTGCTGGAATTTTAATGTAAATATTTTAAACAGATTCAGAGAAATATTTAATATAAATTAATGCATGTGGAAGATTTTTTATTTATTATTTATTTAACTTTATCTGACCTGAGAGTTTCCAGTGTACCGAGTGAACTCTCCAGTGCAGCAGATAGAAGCTTTATTCCAACATCAGTCAGGTTATTGTTACTCAGGTCCAATACTCTCAGACTAGAGGGCTGGGAACTGAGCATGGAGGACAGAGTTTCACAACTTCTTTCTGACAGACTACAGTCACTTAGTCTAGAATGACAAATAACCAAGTGGAAAGAGATTAATGTTTTTCTTGAAAGATATCAGTGTATGATAAATGATATATACAACTTTCAGTATACTTACAGAACTTTGTTGGAAGCCTTGACCACAGGCAGCAGCCTCAGAAGAGCTTCCTCTGAAGCAGAGTATTTCTTCAGGTCAAACACATCCAGATCTTTTTCTGATGACAGTAAGATAAAGACCAGAGCTGACCATTGAGCAGGAGACAGTTTATCTGTAGAGAGACTTCCTGAACTCAGAGACTGTTGAATCTCCTCCACTAGAGAATGGTCATTCAGTTCATTCAGACAGTGGAACAGGCTAATGCTTTTCTCTGCAGACAGATTCTCACTGAGCTTCGTCTTGATGTACTGAACTGTTTCCTGATTTGTCTGTGAGCAGCTTCCTGTCTGTGTCAGCAGACCACGTAGGAGACTCTGATTTGTCTGTAGAGAAAAACCCAGCAGGAAACGAAGAAATAAGTCCAGGTGTCCGTTTGAACTCTGCAATGCCTTATCCACAGCACTCTGGTGGAGAAACTGTAGTTTAGGTTTATTAAATAATTTAGACCACTTGGAGATTGTATTTCGATCATCCAGCAGATTAACTCCAGAGTTAATAAATGTCAGGTGGACATGAAGAGCAGCCAGAAACTCCTGAACACTTAAATGGACAAAGCAGAACACATTGTCCTGGTACAGTCCTCTCTCCTCTTTAAAGATCTGTGTAAACACTCCTGAGTACACTGAGGCTGCTCTGATATCAATACCACATTCTGTCAGGTCTGATTCATAGAAGATCAGGTTTCCTTTCTGCAGCTGCTCAAAAGAAAGTCTTCCCAGAGACTCAACCATCTTCCTACTCTTTTTATTCCAGTGTGGATCTGTTTCAGTTCCTCCATCATACTTGACCTTCTTCACTTTGGCCTGAACCACCAAGAAGTGGATGTACATCTCAGTCAGGGTCTTGGGCAGCTCTCCTCCCTCTATGGTTTTCAGGACATCCTCCAGAACTGTAGCAGTGATCCAGCAGAAGACTGGGATGTGACACATGATGTGGAGGCTTCTTGATGTCTTTATGTGAGAGATGATCCTGCTGGCCTGCTCCTCATCTCTGAATCTCTTCCTAAAGTATTCCTCCTTCTGTGGGTCAGTGAACCCCCTCACCTCTGTCACCATGTCAACATACCTAGGAAGAATCTGATTGGCTGCTGCAGGTCGCGTGGTTATCCAGAGACGAGAGGAGGGAAGCAGGTTCCCTCTGATTAGATTCGTCAGTAACACATCCACAGAGGTGGACTCTGTAGGGTCAGTTAGGTTTTTAGTTTTGTGGAAGTCCAGAGAAGGTCGACACTCATCCAGACCATCAAAGATGAACATAACCTGGAAGTCTTCAAAGTTGCAGATTCCTGCTTCTTTGGTTTCAGTGAAGAAGTGATGAACGAGTTCCACCAAGCTCATCTTTTCATCTTTCAACACGTTCAGCTCCCTGAAACTGAATGGAAAAATGAACTGGATGTCCTGGTTGGTTTTGTCTTCAGCCCAGTCCAGAATAAACTTCTGTGTTAAGATTGTTTTCCCAATGCCAGCCACTCCCTTTGTCAACACTGTTCTGATTGGTTCATCTCTTCCAGGTGAGGCTTTAAAGATGTCTTCTTGTCTGATTGTTGTTTCTGGTCTGTCTGATTTCCTGGATGCTGTTTCAATCTGCCTGACTTCATGTTCATCATTGAGCTCTGCAGTCCCTCCCTCTGTCATGTGGAGCTCTGTGTAGATCTGATTTAGAAGGGTTGGGTTTCCTGCTTTAGCGATCCCCTCAAATACACACTGGAACTTCTTCTTCAGTTGAGATTTAAGATTATGTTGACAAACTGGAGCAAACATGTCTGAAAAGACACAGTAAATAAGTTACATAAATCAGTATTAATTTATTTGAAATGTTAGATAAAACGTCTTATAACTTTTTATCTTTTAGGAGGCAGAGCCTTGGGCTTTCAGACCCCTCTTCTGTGGAACAAACTCCCAGTTTGGATTTGGGAGACAGACACTATTGAATTCTCTACTTTTAAGATTAGGTTTATAAAGCATATAGTTAGGGCTGGATCAGGTGACCCTGAATCCTCTCTTAGTTATGCTGCGATAAACCCACTGGCGTTTTTTCTTCACTCACCTTTCACTATGTTGTCATACCTCCCTCTGCATTTAATCATTAGTCTTTATTAATGCCTGGCCCCGTTGCACAGCTTGTCTTTTGTGCCGTCTTTTTCCCCTCACCCCTAAGCAGTCGTGGAAAATGGCTTTCTTTCTCTGAGCCTAGTTCTACCAAAGGTTTCTTCCTGTTAGAACTGATCTTTTTCCTTCCCTTGTTACCAAGTGCTTGCTCATTGGGCGGGGGGTCCTGACTGTTGGTGGTTTATCTGTATTATTGTAGGGTTTTTACCTTACTATATAAAGTGCCTTCAGGTGACTTTAGTTGTGATTTGACACTGTGTAAATAAAACTGAACTGAATTTAATTCAATCAAAATCACATTTCATCACTCAAAATGGTGAAATTGTGGATATTTGTTGGTCAGTTTCATTCATTTCATTCCCCTTAAAGAATACATGTTTGAATACATACTGTCTCATACACTGAGATAATAAATAATATAATTATCCTGCAGTTTAGAGATATCGCCTTACTGCTTTGAAGATGCTCAGCCAGCTCATCCTGCTTCATTCTCTTCAAGAAGTGAAGCGTGATCTTTACAAATGCCTCTGTGATGCTCCTCCTCTGCTCTTCATCATCACCCTCCAACATGTCCACAATGTCCCTCTGACCCTCTAAACATTCAAGGTCATGTGCACCAAGAACCCATAGGATCTTATTCAGCTCATTCTTCACAAATGTCAAAATGCTGTCTTCTAGCAACTGTAACAAAAGCAGAGGTGGGAAGTATGTGTTTTGTTATATATATTATATATATTATAATATATATATTATATATTTCTTCTCAGATTTGAAGACAAATATCTGAACTTTCAACTCCTTACAGGCTCTTTGCTTTAGATTTAAGACATTTGAGGGAAGTTATGTTATATCCTATGGTATTCGCTTGTATTGTTTCATTATGACATGAAGTCCAGTTTGGTTGGTTAAAAAAATCCCTTGAGACCTACTTTACTTTTATATTTAAGTACATTTCACGTGGTGTTGATTTCACTCCTAAGAAACTTAATCAGTACTTCAATTGTTGGAGTCAAATTGTTAAATGTTGTCATTGTGTTACTTAAATTTGTAAGTCTTAGTTCAAGCAGCATGATCAAGGATATTCCTTTGTCTCTGACACTAAGACAATTCACTGGCCTACAATGTGTAACATGCAGATGGTTTTGAATAGAACAAATGTAAAAGGAGTTGTTGTACATGTACAGACCACAAATATGGATTTCAACTGTATTTTATGCTGCTGGGCAGACTGACCACGGGGAACCTCCAGGAACTCCTGGCCCACACTGTGGAGGAATCATGAAAAATCTGTTTACATAATCTCTCCATATTTATTAGCTTTTTCAAAAATATTTTTAGCACAGTTTTTTGTGAAGTCAGAAGTTAATCAAACGCAACATGGAATAAAAATAAAACATTTTTTTTCTGACCGGGAATGCAAGTCAATAACTAATAAAATAATTTGTACATTTTTTTTTTTACTATCTTTTTGTTTTTAAGTTTTTTTTCTGCTTTTTTGCTAAACAGTAAATTTCAAAATTCATGGTTGACAAGAACAACTATATTTTAGCATGAAAAATATTTTGATAAAAGAACTTTATAGAACCATAAAACCATCATCAATTTAGGGCAGCTGTGGCAAAAACACTTACATTGGGTGGTGGTCCACTAAATTTGTTAGTCACTGTGCATCATTTGGTTCTGTTTCTCCAGGAAACTTATTTTAGGCAATAGAGAGATTGTTTTTTCTACAAATGGTACATGGTTTTTGTTTTCGCTACTATAAGATCAATGTTGGGGAGGAACGGAATACATGTACCGGTGTTCTGGGAATCTATCCTACCTCACAAACCATCCTACCTGTTGTTTCTGTGCAAACGCTGTGTATGGGCATAACACAAACCCCTAATTTACATAATTTTTTTTAACCCATTGTGAATATTTCTTATGGTTATGGTTAGGTTTATGGTTAGGATTAGAGGTTAGATTAGTCAGAAGTCGCCGGCAAATTATAATACGGGTAGGACAATTTGCCAAAGTAGGACTGTTTCTCAGAACACCGGTGTTACATATTTAAAATGCAAAATATGAGTAACTGTATTCCATTACATTTACCGGTTAAAAAGGTGATATTCAGAATACAGTTACTTTGTTGAAATAAATAGATTACACGTCTTTTCCTGTTTCATATCTTATGCTATGCCCTCTCTAAGTTTTCGGTAATTCCACGCCAGTGGAAACCCAAACAAAACACACATTAACAGTCTCTAATGCCTGTGTCTCAATCTTGCGGTCCATAATGAGGTGAAGAAATATTTTTAAAAATTATTATTCAAAAATTATTTAATATGAAGGCAATAGGCAGAGTGTTACAGGCATAGCCCTAAAGAATGTGGCCTCATGGGCAGTGTAGTCTGTGCTGCAGCGAGAATGGACTGCCATACCCATTATGTGTCTGTGAGCGTGAGGGAGGGAGAAAAAGGAGCATCGAAAAGTATGTGCTGTCACAGGCCAGAAATGGGAGATGGAGGCATGTACAATAATAATACACACTGCAGCCAAAAATAGTGCCTGCCTGTAATCTGTTGTGGAATACATTTTAAAAGTAACCTTCCCAACACTGAATAAGATATAACAACCACCGGCTATCAGTCCTGGCGATGGGTTTTGCCAGGGCCTCTGCCCGCTATACATTGCACCAGACCTCTATGACACCTCCTGTGGGTGGTGGGCCTACTAGAGGTGTTGTAGGGATCCAGCCAAGTCCTACAGGGAGGAGGTCCTGAGGTAGACCCAGGACACGCTACAGAGATTATCTCTCTTAGCTGGATGAGAGATATAATTCCTGATAAACTGGAGGAGGTGGCTGGGCAGTGTGATGTCTAGGTTTCTCAACTTAGGCTATTACCTTCATGACCTACCCCCAGGTAACTGAAGAAAATGGATGGATGGATATAACAATAATCCTCCCTAAAGACAAACTTCCCAAAAAGACATCAAAAAGTGCTCAGGAAATCATCATGGATGCACAGTGTTTGAACCAAAAGACAAAGGTGACACCCACTGGTCAAACCGGAGTCCCACTCCTACTCTTTCACTGCTGCATTTCTCCTCCAGGTGTCTAATTTCCTTGATTAAGGATTAACTAAATGCTGAGATATGCTGAGTTTTCAGCTCAAAGTTTTCTTGGGAATCACCTTGATTTGATTTGATTGAATCTTTATTTTGAACATGTTGAAAAAGTACAACATAATAGAATTAAAAGAGACAAATGAACACCTTGTTGGTGCAAAAGTAATATTTATGTCTGTCAAACTGTGTTATCAGTTGGTGCATTTACTACAGATTTGACAAAAGAAATGGAAATAAATGACATGATTTTGCCACAGACTTTTTTTTTCTACTAAACTGTCTGCTATTTGTAGACAAAACACGGGTTCACTCTTAGATGCCTTTTTTATGCTTAAGTCATTTATAGGTCAGTTTTTAACTAAATTAACAAACTAAAAGGAAAAAGATCAGGTGAAAATTAACCCTGTACAAAGAGTCTGTAGAAATAACATATATTAAGAAATGAGGAGTGGCGTTCAAACTTTTGCACAGTGTTGTAGACGGGAAAAATAGTGTGCTGGATGCATAAGTTACATTTAGACAGACAGATTACCTCACTGCAGGAGAACGTTGTCCGTTAAAATGAACCTCAAAATCCTTTGAGCTGTTGCTCATTAAAGATGAACAGGTTGGTTCAGGTCCACATTTGATTTTCTGATGGATTCTGAAGAAATATTAAAACTTCTTCATTAAAAATGTCACTGCACATGAATGGATGATAAAACAATTTTGATAGTTATATTAATTACATTTTATCATTTGACTGTCTTTGTTTAAATTTTGTAATGAGACCCTTGGACCGGTCGCTCTTTAAGGATGGACAGCTGGGTTCAGGTCCAGGTTGGTTCCTGTGAATAATGATGGAGCAGTGGTGTGAGTGCTGAGCTGTGACATGGAGAAGAGTCGTGGACAGTTAGAGATGGTCATCTCACCTCTGAGCTTTGGTCTGGCTCTCATGTTCCCCACACAGAGTGGTTTTAGATGGAGGGACTCCCTCCTCTCTGTCCTCACACTGATCCATGCTGCTGAATTCACATCCACATCAGCTCACACACACTTTCTACCTTCACCTGCAGAGGAAACACAAATCATTCATGTGCACATCAACTGAAATCCTTTCCATCATGTGTGCTGTCCAAATATCAGCTGCTTCTTTTCTGCTTCATCTCAGTCTCAGCTGAGTGCAGTCAGACAGCAGTGTGAGGCAGATTAAGCTGCCATCAGCGGCTCTACTTCTACTATCAGTCCTCTAGATGGAGGCATGAAACACACACAATGCATTCACTAACACATTTGCAGATGTGATTTGTTTTCAGTCCATTAATATTCAATTAAAGTTGTTCAAACACGGCTCGAATCACAGAAACAGATGGAGACACGGGGGAACATCATGTGACAGAGTTTAGTTTTCTTCTTCAAACAGGTTTAACAGGAGTTTTGAATGATTCAGGATGTTAAGTACTGCATAGTCATCAGTTATTGCAGACCTTCCCAAAGTGTGGGGCCCGCCCCTAGAGGGGGCGCAGAGCCAAACAAGCCAAACAACGCTTGGACACTGCTAGCACGGGGCTCCCACACAAACTCAAAGCAGGAGATGAAGCATAGCTGAATATGTTTTCAAACCAACTTCATTCTAAGCCAAAGACTAGAAAATATGGTGAAGCAGATCTTCCCTTTGGTTTCACCTGCACAAGTGCCGAGGTAGGTCTCCCCTGCAGAATTGGTCTTTCCTTTGTTGGGAGCAGCACTGGGCTGTTGAAATCACGGACAAACAGTATCCCACATTCTTGATTTTTAGTTCACAAACACTTCTTGTAATGACTAACTACTCCTGACATTTTGGAGATGTTAGCTCTTTATACAGTAAAGTTACAGTGGGATACAAATAATATCAGACTGATCCGGCCATGATTTGTTCCCCCGGTTCAAATCCTGGACAAACAGTATCCCACAGCTGTTTATGTTTTTAAACCCATTTTGCACAGAGAGGCATTTCTGAAAAATGTATTTATAGCAATGTTGAATATTATTACACAGGAAAAAAACAACTACACATAAAATAATCACACCGTGACGCCTCTGCCTTTGTAAATAGAGGGACAGTAACTGCATGCGTATATGTAAGCATGTAAAACCTGCAGATAGTCAGATTAACGGTATTTTGTCTCTATCTGCCATTCTGCAATTCATCCATTCATTCATTGATGTTGCGTGACGAACTCTGTATTCCTCGTCCACACGTAAACGCAAAAAAGGAGTTTTAAAAAATTTCCGTTTTCGGTGATTCGAAACGCCGTTTATGTGTGGACGAAACAGCTGCGTTTTCAAAAATACCCGTGTAGGTGCGGACCTAGCGTTAAAGAGTTAGTAGTTTATTTTCTTACTACCTGTAATTTATTGTAATTTATTGAAGATTACTTGTATTTGCTTAATTGTTTACTAAATGTTTGTGGTGTGAAATAAACCCCAAACGAGCAAAACATGGGTGTGTGTGGTTGGAGGATGTGTTTGTGCGTGCGTGTGCGCGTGCTGTGGGGGGGTGCGAACATTTTTCTTGAAAAACAAAGGGGAGCCTAGCAAAAAAAGTTTGGGAACCACTGAGTAATTGCATTTTTTGGGTTGGATTACTATTATTTGCGTCATACTTTTTGAATTAAACATATATTTTGGAATAATTAATTATTTTTTCTGCAATGTTAGTTTGTTGTATAAGGTAGTTTTTTCATTTATGTTTTATTGGTTTTCTTTTTTATACAGGGAATATAAGACTACAATTTAATAACAGAACAACATTGGGAAAAACAAAAACAAACAACAAGATTATACAAAATCAGGCCTTCCATTTTGTATGTAGTTCAACCATTTCGACCAATGTTCTTTAAAAAAGAGCACCTGTGACTTCAGTCTAAAAGTTATTCTTTCCATAACAAATATAATGTATATCAAATCAGTCCACTCATTTGTAGTAGTATCTTCACTAAAACAACGATTGGCTTTTAGAAGCCACCAACAGCACTCTGAGCAGATTTTTATCCGATTTACACAATTTAACCTCCTAGGACCTGGCGTCCACATATGTGGACATCACTTTTTGGGTTGTCTAGACCAAAATACTCAATTTTGCTCCACAAGGGCCTGATATCCACTTATGAGGACATTATACTGCCTCGGTTTTATCAAAATTTAAAATGACTGTCTTCATATGTGGCTCTCATTTTTCTTAGAAACAAAAATCAGGTAAAAAAAAAATAATCTGGTGATTCTTTGTTTTTACATTCATGAGGTCCCAATCAGCCCAAATATCAAAGAGAAATTAAAAAATGCATGCCATGGAAGAGTTCGGGTCTTAGGAGGTTAAGACTCTCTAAGTTTCCTAAGTACAGTACAGTGAAATGAATTAAAAAAAAAAAAAAAAAAAGACTGTGTCCAGGACCTTATTTATTTCCTTCCTGTAATGTCTTTTGTTAACTGTTCACATGTCTGTTTATTCAATATACTAGAATTTAATTTCCTGTTAGTAATTCTTCTCCTTTGAGAAAGTTTTAAAGCTAAATACAGAAAGTACTTAAAAAAAAAATCTAAACATGTACAGGACGTCAGGACCTTTAGACTAAGCAGGTCCAAACTTGTAAACCCACATAGTAGAAAGGTTATTCTCTTCTTTCTTCTCAGCTCAATGGTCATTTTTACCTGTACATTTGACACTTGATAAATTTTTTATTTTCATTTCTAAACTTTCAAGTGTAAGACAATTGGTAGTTGGTTGGTGTTGAAAACATCCCCTTTCCTTGTGTTTTTGTTAGAATGTTTTTCTGCAGTTCCAACAGGGACAGTATTTTCTTATCTGTTAGGAGAAGCTGATGAGCGTTGTATTTATTTTCATGGGTTTGACTGCTTTGTGTCGGTGGCTTAAATTGCTAATTATTCTACTGAAGTTGCATATAGAAGAGCACAGATTCAGTTGTAGACAGATACAGGTCATTACTTTGGAGTATGTTTGAAATAAAGTCAAGTGTGCACAGACATGCACTGTATTCGAAGTTCAGTCAGTTTTTAGTCATGTGATCTGGATCCTCAGTACAGCTGTAAGATGTCTATACGACTTGTGAGACCAACTTAACACTTAATACTTCTCATATTTAATGTCATCAGTGGCTTCTGCCAAGAATTTCCTTGTAATAAGTGCCCACAACAATTTTGAAGTACAGATCTATTTAGGATGTATAATTAGCCCATCTGGGATTAGTCAGTTGATGAGTTATTCTTAAGTAACATTTCAGAGAGCAGAGAAGACATTTTCTTAGCATTTACACAACACCCACAGTAATTTAATTATACTGTCCTTCCTTCTCTATCACAAGAAATCCTCATATTTAACATCCATTAGTGTCAATATTAATTCAACATTAACATAATTTAGAACACAAAACTTGCTTATTGCAAACTCAATAAAACTGCAGCATAAGTTTGCTTTCTTGCATTATTTGTGCTTGGAGGAGCAAAGCAAAAGAACCAACAGACAGGCATGTAATGCACCTACAGCACTTTTCTAGTCTTAATGAACACTCAAAGCACTACTAGGTACAAGTCCCACTTTATCCAGACATTCTTGCAACACTTTATCTCCGTCACTTCAAGGAAAATTTTTTAGAATAGCCAGTTAACCTGACATGTATGCTGGAGAGATTCAAACATGCAACCTAAACCCAGAAAGGTCCCAGACAGAATAAACCACAGACCTCGTTGCTGTGAGGCAGCTTTTCTAATCAGTCCACAAACACTGAGTGCTTTACCACAGAGCACCACCATGTCATCCTGTTTCAGATCTCGTGTCTGTGTCAAGACACTCTCAAGGCACCATGTGACTTTTGCATGAACTCTGCTCCTCATGTGCACTGCATGTGATCACTCCTACTCTGTTTTACTATTCCACTGTTTGGAGATTTCCCCATGATCTTTCAAAGATCAGCAGTGGTGCAAACACCAACAATATGAGTGAAAGTGTTAAGGGACCTCTGGAGATCTGTTAACATTGTCTCATAAAAGAATAAAATGCACACAGACATGGCATGTAGAGTTTAAAGACCCCCTAAACACACCATTGTGGTGACAGCATAACATTTTAGAATATTTTCATTTTGTTTGTTTTTGAATCAGGTTTGGACAAAGACATTTTTCTGCAGCCAAAACAGGTCGAATTATCACGAGCAGTATGGAAGGGTTAAAGTGTCTTCCACTTTTGTTTTCCCCCTGTAAAAGCGTCATTGTTCTGACATGTTTTTATTGTGCAACAGCTTTAACTTTTAGTTTTTTTGGCTTTGTTTTGGACCAAAAACTATGAACTTCTAATGCCATCATAATAGCAAGATTTCAGAATATTGGAGCACATAAATAAATAAGTCGTACTTTTGTAACTGGTTGAAGTAAAAATTGTCAAAGCACAAAAAGAGAAATATTCAAAAAAAGGCATAAATACTTTAAGAGAACAGTGAAGAACAGGAATTGAGTAGATGTTAAGTCATAGAAGCAGACCAGACATTTCTAAATAGAGCAAAAACTGCCTCGAACATTTTGATGGAAATGTGAATCATTCTCTTTAAACTCACACAAGATGTCAGTCGAGCTGCTTAAAGGTTGCCTCCTTCTCGGGTCCAGCTGTGAGTCAGTCAGCGTGATGTATGGAGTGGCAGATTTCTTTTGTTTCTGCTGGAATTAATCTGAACAAAGCTGGTGTTAACAAGAAGAACAACTATTACCATCACATGGAGCTTCACATGGAGAGGATCATCTGACAGCAAGTCCAGGAAAGTGAAGTGAAACTTTACAAAGAAAGAAAACACAGTGAGGAGCTTAGGGAGAAATTGTGAAAGAGGAAAATCAGGAACTGATCAGTTTGAAATGTTTGAGGTTTTACAGAAATCTGCATTTCTGTACTGTTATTGTTTATACTGAACACATCCTCCAGAAATGTTCTATTTAAATTGTGGTGTGACAGGATACATGATGTTTGCCATTTGACAAAAAATTTGCCATGTTTTTTTATTCTTTATGTTTTGGTGTCTGACTGTGA